ATCAGTATGATTGACCAGGAACCCTCGTGTAAATATGCTAGACGATGTGCCCCCGTGTCTGTAGGTTTGAACATGTGCTCCTTCGTCTGTATGCTTGAACGCGTGATCAAGTGCCCTCGTGTCAGTATGATTGCAGATCAGTATGATTGGGGATCTCGTAAAAATGATCTCCAATCATTCTTATCTGCAATCATACTGATACGGAAGCACGTCGTCTATCATCCTGACACGAGGGCACTTGTTTAAATCATTATATATATATATATATATATATATAAAGTATGTGTGTTGTTATGATCAATGTTAGTCCGGGTGTCGGGGTGTTCCAGTGCAACTTCTCTACCATGGGATTGGTGACGATGTTGACATTGTAGTACCCCACGTTGGCAGTCAATTATCACTTGCTGTGTCGGGAGAACTTGCAGTAATTTGGATCGGTTTGTCGTGAGCATACAATGTGTGAAGTCACAATTTTCGTCGCCCAGCTCGATTACTTGATAGGTCCGTATCAAATTAAGTTTCTCTTTCCATAATTTACCTCCTAGTAGTATGACGCTGTGTCCATTTTCGGAGCCTTCATCGCAACGTGTTTGCCGTGAAACCACTCCATATCCCTGTATACTTTGTTAATTACACATGTGGAGTGACCACCCCGTAGTGCCGCCTCCGTGGTCTTGTGGTAGAGCGTCCGCCCGGAGAGCGGAAGGTCCGGGGTTCGATCCCCGGCCGCGTCATACCAAAAGACGTTAAAAGATGGTACTTGTTGTTACCCTGTCTGGCGCTCGACATTAAGGGGCTAAAACAAGGACTGGTCGGCTCGGAGTCAGTATACTGTGTCTGAGTGGGGTATTCATGTTAAACTGCGGCATGATATCTCAGTGAGTTAGCACTATAAATCGGCATCAGTCCGGACTAGTACAAGCAGCCACAGACACACACGTGCATGCACGTCGCTAATATAAGTGCAATAATCTTGGACGCGACGTTAAACCAAATTTCACCTCACCACCCCGTAGTCTAGCGAATAGAGCGTCTACCCGGAGACCGACCCCTTCATACCAAAAGTCGTTAAAATGTGGTACTTTTTGTTACCCTGCCTGAGGCTTGGTACAAGGGGAGGCAAGGACATCCGGTTGGAGTCACTATACTGTCTGGGTGGGGTATCCACGTTCAATTGTGGCATAGTATCTCAGTGGGCTAGCACTATAAAATCGGCATTGTCACAAATACACACACGAGCATGCTACATAAATGTAAGTGCAATAATCTTGTAGGCGACGTTAAATTCCATACCTCGCATATTAGGAGTACCGAAAAACAGCTGTTATATAAGGAATCAGAGCGCGACAGGAGTTTACATATAAGGTCACTCGAATGCTGTAATTATAGGACAGGCGTGGGCTCGTTTTGTTTTACGAGCATCACCCGTTATGTTACAATACCAGCGGTGCGTCAGTCTCCACACGCCTGGGACCAGAGGATATACGAAGCTATTATGTGGGTGTAACGTAATCCACGACAACTCGTGTATTACTGTTTTAGTAGGATTTTAGATGTTCAGGGGTATTAACTCTGTAGACTTCTTCATACGTGCATCTGATATCGTCAAGGCGTGAGACGTTTGGGAATTGTGCGTTTTATTTGATAGTCAGGATCGCACTAGATTTCTGCTTTGGGGTTCTGGTTCACCAATACAGGTAACGGAAAGGGGAAACGTAATTCGATGCGGACCCCCAAAAACATCCACCCACCCCCATATACAAATATATATATTCATCCATTCATTTTTATGGTGGAGCAATGTCAATGTTGGGGTATATGTTACTGTTTTATGTTTCTACCCAGTGGTGAAACGAATGTATGATAGAGGATACAAGACGTTTGTAATAATTCTTTGGCGTGAAAGTTGTGTCGAAAAAGGAACAATTTGAGCCATAATTAAGCTCACTTCCGAGTAAACCCCGGGCAGACCTCAAATCATTGAAGGAGATTAGTGTTTCCTTATCTGCATATCATGAAAATGTGACGATATGAACCATACATAAACGCGGAAGTAAAGGGACAATACTTCGTTACCCCTTACGCAAAGAAGTAGGACAAATGCCACTTGTATTCCTGTGTTACAAACGTAAAACCAAAGCGTCCTTGATATCAGTTACTGGCCAATTGGTAAATTTGGGGCACTCTCTCTTGAAGTGTGGTGAGGGCGTAATCCCTTTAAGAATCCATACGAATTCATCATTAAGATGGGATATTGAAATATTTCAAACTGTTGCGAAACACAGATAAGGGCACTGGTAATTTGTGACAGGGGAGGGTCGGTGAGAAAAGGGAAGGGGGTGGGGTGGGGCATTATTTAAGGACTGGTCTTTTATTATGGGGTGGGTGGGTGGGTGGGGGGGGGGGGGGGGGCGGGGGGCGGACGGACGGTAAAATATTACCCACTCACACTCACTCACTCTCTCTCTCTCTTTATATATATATAAATGACCAGCCCCGAACAAATTATGATTTTTATTTCTTTGAAGATATGATGATCTATATTTCTTTGAACTTGGAATTAAGCTCAAAAGCGCCAGTTGAATGACAATATCGAATAATATCCGTAATCTTCTCCATTTTATCTGTCATATTTATTCCCCACCTATGTACTAAGAACACCCCTATAACAAATTGAGTGGTATATGATATATCGGAGTTAAACACATCACGTCGATGTAAGACGTCGCACATAAACTCCCTGATAGAAGATGCCTTCTACCGCTGACGCTTGAGCTGGTACGTCCATGAAAGGCATGGTGTGACTGACAGGTGGTCTAGCCAATCGCTTGCTCACCAAGTCGGTCGCGACCATCTGTGTGGTGAATATGACATAATGAACAATCGCCGTCACCAGAAAGTAGTATTGAATAGGAGCGGAGATGATCAGACAAGCAACAGGTTGCACCCGGAATGTTAAGGCGCAAAGCTTCGTACAGTCCACAGCTAGTGAGTGCGGACCTGTTGTAATGGAATGTGTCTGATCAACTTGTGCTCTCCTGCCCCGTGTGAAGGGACTTGTGTGAAAGCGTCACGCACTGTTTGGGATACATTTTATTGCGTTTATTCTAATACGGATGTACTACAGCCTTTCCACTCCATCGTGAGTATCGTTAGTTGCCAGTTCTTGTGATTCTTGTGATTCTGCTAAATTTTCTTGCCTTGAAATGTTGTCTACCTAACATGAAACAATTCCTTGAACGTTTTGCTGACATTCCGCATTACCAATGTCTTTTTGACATTGTCGACACAGGTCTTTATTGAGTACCAGCTTTTGAAAACTGCCAGTATTCATTCATTGAAAACGATCGGTATAAACTATATCTTCCTTTTTTAATGTTAATGTTTATCGTATGGCTTTTATTTTAGATTACCAGACAGGTAATCTGAACCATTATGGGTTTCTCGTTTAAAGTTTTGACATTCCAGCACACCTTCTATCCCGTAGAAGATCCCCAAACCCAAATCCCCACACCTTCCTAGAGTCGAAATGCGTTGTATATGTATGACATTGGTAAGCATAAAAAACAGCACAGTATATATACTACTCAAAGAAGTCAAAGATCGCCTGATTCTTTCATGTTACTATAGTTAATCTGGCATGTCATGACATATTTATTCTAGTTATATGAGAATGGTCGTTAACTTCTGAGTACTGTATATCGCCTGATGTTGAAACGTGCGGTTGCTCATGTTTTCCTGCTTGTGGCTTGTCAAAGTAACATCAAATAGTATTTTGTAAGAACCGTTCACATAATAAGGAAGAGAAATGGATGTCAACTTCTTTATTATGAGAAACACGTTGTCATCCTGATGAAGGAGTAAGCATAGCCTCCGAAACGTTGTGTTCCTCATAATAAAGAAGTTGACATCTATATATTATCTTCCTTATGTGTATCACTTCTAAATGCCTTTCAAAGACCCGTTCACATTATGTTTGAAAGTGTTGACACACATTTCATTTACCATCCGTATAGATGCGGATGTTGTAAAGTGTTTGAAACTAAAGGCCGATTGCTCTACGTGTTGTATCAGTACAATACAATACAATATAGTTTATTAAAGTCTCACCATTTGTACAGCAGGGGTTTAAATAAAGCATTTTAAATATCTAAAAACTTAAAAGTACAAATGCCACCCAAGCGGGTTACGAGAGACTAAATCTTACACAAATGTAAGTGCTTTATAAAATAATGTAAAATGAGATACAATTATACATAATATTATAATCATAGTCACAGTTTAGGAATATAAATATTAAGAATGTAAATAATAAGATAAACAGTTAAATATATTGTTAAATTATACATAAAATAATTTTCTACGCATAAACATTTTGAAGCACATGCATCCTGAAAGTTACAATGGTTATTTAAAATGGTGATATCTACAGGTGTATGATAGAACATATTCTTAAGATAAGATGTACGAATATCGTCATAAAAGGGACAGTGTAAAAGAAAGTGGGTTTCGTGCAACAATAGCTTCATGCATGGGTACGTTGTGAATAACAACGTCGAGTTTTAAAAGTGATCACATCTGCATGAAACTCCATTACATACCGCTCAAGCACTGCTCCCGTATTTCTGTGTGCATGTCGTGGTTTCACATATCATATTCGTCTTATTGTGACCTTGTTTTGGTCTGATGCATATCATGATAGATACTTTTCACTACCGACTTATCTTGTCGAAAAGAGACGGATTATTTAATGTTCATCTGTCAAAATTATGTCCGGAATTTAGCAGTTTTACGCTTAAGGATTCCAAAGGCGAGGTCATATTACGACAGTCCTGCAAGGCATACCTGACGATACTTATCCGCAGGTCATGTGAGGTCAGGCTTGTTTTGTTTTGCCTATTTGTCAGGTTGATTATGATCCGGGTGCTGGCGTCATTTTATCGGTTGTACTGTTGTGTCTACTCCGACTCGAGATTTAAGTTTTTTTTGTTTTTTTCCAGACATAACAAAGACGACCTGAAGTGCAGACAGATTCTTCACGAATATGGGTCAAGGTAAGCCAGTCAACATCGAGGCTAGGGATTTGTCATATTCAGTCCACGTCTGCTGTAAAAACATGTCGGTTATGATGAAACACATAAAATCAACTTATTGATCAAAGTTTTGTTTAAGCGAACAGGTTCAAATGTACTAATATACCACTCATTTTTAATAGGGATATTGTAGTTTCATATATCCCTATCAAAAGTGTGAGTAGTATACTTCAAAGTGTCATGGCCTCTCAAAACAACGTTATTTTGCAGATGAATAACGAAGTTCAACGAACTAATTTTCAAGCTCTTTCCCTGTTTTGTCTGTCAGTAGTGGATCGATGATGTTTTCATTTATTTTGTAGAATTAAAACACATTATTTTATATCATGGCAGAAAGACAGATAAAACATGTCTTTCCCATTGGCAGTACATATCAACATAGTGTTTTCCACCAACAACGGCAGTCTTCAAATACATTAAATATACATAAGACATTTCAACTCAGTTTTAATAATTCTCGTACTTCAATTCTTTATTTACTTTAAGCTTTACAGCTTATCGGTATATACATAGACTGTTGAAGAAAACAAGTTTGCTCCCTCATACTTACATGTATCGATGGTTGGTCTGACAATAAAATCGCACTGATACTTATATATTTATTTATTGGGGATAATGTAACTGAGCACAAATTACCCTTGTAGAAAAATATCACTTTCAGATGTTACCTATGTTACGTGAAAAGGACGTTCTGTAGGCAATTGCTGCTACTGAAAATCAGTACATTTATGTGCAGAATTATGTTGTTCTGACATTACTGGTTTGTCTTGAACGTTTAGTCGCTTACATCGCTACATAGAGCATTCCGGTTATTTGTTTTCAAGCCGGGAAAAACTTAATCCGGTTTCAAGTCGAGACAATGAATTTCATCGAATATTTACATTCTCGCAAATACCTAATTACATCTAGATGGCTACTATATAAACACATTCACCTTTCAAACACACTTGGCGTAATCCGCTCCCCTTACGTATTCTTGTTTTCATTAGAGATCTTATTTCACGGGTGTCAATTACGCTAAAGCAAACACCGGCACTCTGAAGAGGGTTAATAAAATAACCACTAATTGTTAAGCAGCTTATCCAGCCACAAGTCGCTAATTCGTTGCGGGTAGTCGGTTTTACTTGAGGCGCCTGTGGCGATCTGTTCACAGCCTGAGGTCTACAAAGCATCGTCTCAATGTTATTTATGCACGTGACGTGCAGATTGACATAGATGCCATTGTAGATAAAGGTACCTTTGTTAGTTTTCCGTTTTGACAGTTTCCGTACGAAATTCTTAGTTCACTTTGTGAAGATGTAATTCGACAATACTTGTATGTTTTGAACCCGAATCGTTTCCCTTAAACCTTCATGTAAAGATGCTAGTATACGTGTACTGAACTTCAAGAGAAATACAAATTAGGTTTGATAAGTTTATACGTGCTAAACTCTTTTCAGTTTTTGATAGATGTGCGTTAACATTGTAGTAAATATAGGTTTTATAATCTCCATTAGTTTAAAATCTACACTACTAAGGAAGAGTTAAGGACGACCTTTATCTTTCATATCACTATAGGGGATAACCTAGTGGGTAAAGTGTTCGCTCGTCTCGCCGGAGACCCGGGTCCGATGGCCCTCATGGGTACAAATTGTGTAGCCCATCTCTGGTGTCCCCCGCCGTGATATTGCTGGAAATATTGCTAAAAGTGGTGTAAAACCATACCCATGCCATGCTAGAGTAGTGAGTGAGTATGGTTTTACGCCTCTTTTAGCAATGTTCCAGCAATATCACGGCGTACCCATGTCGGGAATCGAGCCCGGGTCTTCAGCGTGACAATAGTAGTATGAAAGAATCTGGTGATCCTTAATTGTTTTAGGATTTATTTGCTAAGTTAGGAAATGCAGTTATTTCGGATTTACTCTACACTGTATTTTGCAGAACTTGACAGCAGTAATGTATAGAAAACTTCCAAACGCTACTTTTTAGAACATGGCCCACTTCAACCAAATTTAAGTAAATCCGTGTCCAGTGTTTCATACAAAGTGTGTGTAAATGAATAGGTTACGCATGTCCTGCGCTGGGGAATACGATGAATACTTCCCAAAGACTGTGTTTTAATCTTTGAGACACGGAACCTTGAAGGCCCGGGTTTGAATAGGTCTTCAGCAACCCACGCTTGTCGTAAGAGGCGACTAACGGGATCGGGTGGCTAGACTTGCTGACTTGGTTGATGCATGTCATCGTATCCCAATTGCGTGGATCGATGCTCATAGTGTCAGTCACTGGAATGTCTGGTCCAGACTCGATTATTTACCGACCGCCGTCATATAGCTGTACTATTGAGTGCGGCGTTAAACAACAGACAAACAAAGATTGAGACACATCCATGTTTAGGTAGGTGATATCATGCAACTGAGTTTCTCTAAGAGTGCACTTCAGCGCAGCATGGACACAATCATAATGACACACTAATATTTGGAATCAAGATTACATCACATTTCTTTTTCAGTTTTGTCCCGAAAACGCTCTGCGTCAGCCAACATAACTGCGCACAAGAGCGACGATGTGACGACTAGCAGCAATGGCGACGTTGTCAAAGCGGAGGCCAACGGTTCCGCAATCCAGTCGACGGGAAATGATACGAAAGTAGAGGTTACAGATACAGATGCAGGTATGACGAAGTTTTCCTTAGTAGTACCACAAACCTCATTTCAAGACAACCAAAATGGCACGACTAAATTAGGTTTTTTATATATGTACATGCTGGTCTAGAGTGAACGAGCCTAGGATATTGGTTAAAGTGTTCGCATATTACTAAATTCCCAACTTAGTTACGCTAGGTAAAGATCATTCTTAATATTCTCGCCGTGATTTGTATGGACTGTGGCTAAGAGCTAGCTGCTAGGGTATTTGCTGAAACAACGACCCCTGTTCAGGGCGCAGGTGATACTGATACATGTACAACAGTCACCCGTGAAGATCCTGGTGAGCATAGGTCTTCCGCAACCCATGCTTGTCGTATGAGGCGACTGTCGGGATCGGGTGGTCATATATCAGTTATATCACGGAGTGTCAGTTTGTGTGATTAAAACCTGAGATGAAGCAGGGCTCAAGCAATTCCCACTGTTGTATAACCCACGATCTAGAGTACGGTGCTGAAAAAACCCTAAACAATTGCGATTCGAACCTACGATATTGTTCCTGGCATGCCTAAGTAACACGAATCTGCACAGCGATTTGCGACTTATTACACGACAGTGTTACCGTGCAATCCGCATGCTTATTTTCAGGAACAAACTGTATTACAAATTCATTTCACCATAAAAACACACAATCCACTTTACTGACACCGCCTATGATCAATGGTTGCTTATGAAACAAAGGCGGCCCCGTGTCGAGTGTTCAGGATCTGTCATTTATGGTGCTTTTGAAGAACTTTCCTGTTACCTTGACATGACCAGGAACTCTATCCACTCGTCACGTTTAGCATACCTGTGAACCAGGAAACTCTTTTTACTTACGTAGTTTTGTATCAAGCCAGTGAACTGTTCAACCGTTGTTGATGGTTATACTTGTTTGCGCAACACTGATTTGTTGTATCAGGTCTTTGAAAGGCATTTAGAAGTGATACACATAAGGAAGAGAATATATGGGTGTCAACTTCTTTATTATGAGGAACACAACGTTTCGGAGTATATGCTTACTCCTTCATCAGGTGAATCATCATCATCATTCATCCTGATGAATGAGTAAGCATATACTCTGAAACGTTGTGTTCCTTATAATAAAGAAGTTGACATCCATATATTCTCTTCCCTAATGATTTGTTGTACAAATACGCATTTGGATAGAAGGTTTGTTATGTTTGGCACGCCTATTTGATATCTCTGTACATGCTTTATTGGTCAACACAAAGACATCATAATTGTCTTTATTTGTATACTTTAACAAATACACACCTGCAAATCGATTATTTGATTTGTTAATTTTGTCACCTAAACAGTGTTATATTTTCGGGAGTAGTTTGTATATTGCGTCCATTTCATGGCCTCGCAAGTACACATACGTGTTGTTTAACGCCGCATCCATACTTGTTGTTTAACGAAACATTCCAGCTGTTTGACCGCGGCCTGTAAATATTCGATTCTGTACCAGACAATCCAGCCATTGATGTCATGAGCATCGATCCTCACAATTAGGAAAAGATGACATGCATCAACCAAATCTGACCACCCGATCCCGTTAGTCGCCTCATACGATGAGCATGGATTGCCGAAGACCTATCCTACCCCGGATATTCACAGATTACACGTACTCGTCATTCGTGGTATAGTGCTGGCAGTTGGGACGCATTAGGTAGTTGTCTGTACCATTCGTCACATCCACCGACCACGCTTGTCATCCCTCAAGCAACATCCCAATCAACTGTAGATATCGCCCGATGAAAGACATTCACATAGGCAATAAATAACTCCTTCCCCAGGACGGGGGCATAATGGCGGAAACTCTTAATGTTAGAGGAGAGTTGAAATGTATGTCAGAATAACACCGCAGGAGAAAGAATATTTCTCCTTATTAATTTTATATTCTGGGAGGATGACACACATTTGCAATGAAAATGTACCCATCGACAAAGAACAGATACAAAAATTGTTGGAGGTTTTAACCTTGTCACCGGGCAAACAGTGATTTAGAAGCAATCATAATAGGATGATATTGCCATGAGATATATAGTTCCCCGAAGCTTACAGTATCATCCGTAACATCAGGTTCTTTTGAATGTGGTTGATCTCATGTAAAACCGTCATGGGTGAGAGTAAATACAAGGTGACTGGGTCACGGCTGTAATCGCTAGCCCAAAAGGAATATGCGGTGCGGTGCGGTGAAATGGGGTTTTACGTCGCGTTTAAGATTATTGAATTTATATAACTAGGTCCAGCCAACGTACATGCATCTGTATGTGTCTGTGTGAATGTGCTAGTCCGGGCTAATGCCTGTTTAATAGCGCTTGTTCATTTAAATACAATGCTGCAGTTTAACATTGATAGACCATTCAGACAGAATTATACTGACTGACCGACCAGACCTTGTTTTGTTTGGTACACACGCACGCACGCACGCACGCACGCACACGCACGCACGCACGCACACACACGCACTCACACACACCACCCTTCCCGAAATGAATCTATATAGGGTATAATAAACTGAGATTGATATATTCTCCTAGCACCAGTCAAAGAGAAGAAGAAGAGGAGAAGATTCTTCTTTAGCCTGAAGCGCTCGCGTCCTGGCAGCGGGCGGAAGAAGAAGGCGAAAAAAGACCGGAATGGACAGGTCAACGCAGACACATCCGCCAACAGCGGCAAGAGTGGTAATAGAACCAGTACGTTCTGTAGACTAGTCGGTGGTGGTAGTATCAATACTTTCTGTGGACTAGTTAGTGGCGACATAACCAGCGCCTTCTATAGACTAGTCGGTGGTGGTAGTATCAGTACTTTCTGTAGACTAGTTAGTGGCGACAGAACCAGTGCCTTCTATAGACTAGTCGGTGGTGGTAGTATCAGTACGTTCTGTAGACTAGTCGGTGGTGGTAGTATCAGTACTTTCTGTGGACTAGTTAGTGGCTCCAGAACCAGTGCCTTCTATAGACTAGTCGGTGGTGGTAGTATCAGTACGTTCTATAGACTAGTCGGTGGTGGTAGTATCAGTACGTTCTGTAGACTAGTCGGTGGTGGTAGTATCAGTACGTTCTATAGACTAGTCGGTGGTGGTAGTATCAGTACGTTCTACAGACTAGTCGGTGGTGACAGAACCAGTACGTTCTGTAGACTAGTTAGTGGCGACAGAACCAGTACGTTCTATAGACTAGTAGGTGGTGGTAGTATCAGTACTTTCTGTAGACTAGTCGGTGGTGGTAGTATCAGTACGTTCTGTATACCTGTCGGTGGTGGTAGTATCAGTACTTTCTGTAGACTAGTTAGTGGCGACAGAACCAGTACGTTCTATAGACTAGTCGGTGGTGGTAGTATCAGTACGTTCTGTAGACTAGTCGGTGGTGGTAGTATCAGTACTCTCTGTAAACTAGTTAGTGGCGACAGAACCAGTACGTTCTGTAGACTTGTCGGTGGTGATAGTATCAGTACTTTCTGTGGACTAGTTAGTGGCTACAGAACCAGTGCCTTCTATAGACTAGTCTGTGGTGGTAGTATCAGTACGTTCTATAGACTAGTCGGTGGTGGTAGTATCAGTACGTTCTATAGACTAGTCGGTGGTGGTAGTATCAGTACTTTCTGTGGACTAGTTAGTGGCTCCAGAACCAGTGCCTTCTATAGACTAGTCGGTGGTGGTAGTATCAGTACGTTCTATAGACTAGTCGGTGGTGGTAGTATCAGTACGTTCTGTAGACTAGTCGGTGGTGGTAGTATCAGTACGTTCTATAGACTAGTCGGTGGTGGTAGTATCAGTACGTTCTATAGACTAGTCGGTGGTGACAGAACCAGTACGTTCTGTAGACTAGTTAGTGGCGACAGAACCAGTACGTTCTATAGACTAGTAGGTGGTGGTAGTATCAGTACTTTCTGTAGACTAGTCGGTGGTGGTAGTATCAGTACGTTCTGTATACCTGTCGGTGGTGGTAGTATCAGTACTTTCTGTAGACTAGTTAGTGGCGACAGAACCAGTACGTTCTATAGACTAGTCGGTGGTGGTAGTATCAGTACGTTCTGTAGACTAGTCGGTGGTGGTAGTATCAGTACTCTCTGTAAACTAGTTAGTGGCGACAGAACCAGTACGTTCTGTAGACTTGTCGGTGGTGATAGTATCAGTACTTTCTGTGGACTAGTTAGTGGCTACAGAACCAGTGCCTTCTATAGACTAGTCTGTGGTGGTAGTATCAGTACGTTCTATAGACTAGTAGGTGGTGGTAGTATCAGTACTTTCTGTAGACTAGTCGGTGGTGGTAGTATCAGTACGTTCTGTATACCTGTCGGTGGTGGTAGTATCAGTACTTTCTGTAGACTAGTTAGTGGCGACAGAACCAGTACGTTCTATAGACTAGTCGGTGGTGGTAGTATCAGTACGTTCTGTAGACTAGTCGGTGGTGGTAGTATCAGTACTCTCTGTAAACTAGTTAGTGGCGACAGAACCAGTACGTTCTGTAGACTTGTCGGTGGTGATAGTATCAGTACTTTCTGTGGACTAGTTAGTGGCTACAGAACCAGTGCCTTCTATAGACTAGTCTGTGGTGGTAGTATCAGTACGTTCTATAGACTAGTCGGTGGTGGTAGTATCAGTACGTTCTATAGACTAGTCGGTGGTGACAGAACCAGTACGTTCTGTAGACTAGTAGGTGGTGGTAGTATCAGTACTTTCTGTGGACTAGTTAGTGGCGACAGAACCAGTACGTTCTGTATACCTGTCGGTGGTGGTAGTATCAGTACTTTCTGTGGAGTAGTTAGTGGTGACAGAACCAGTACGTTCTATAGAATAGTCGGTGGTGGTAGTATCAGTACTTTCTGTGAACTAGTTAGTGGCGACAGAACCAGTACGTTCTGTATACCTGTCGATGGTGGTAGTATCTAGTCGGTTGTAATAGAAACAAGCCTTGAAGTTTCAAACAAGCCAGTGGTATGGGTAGTGGAATCGAAGACTTCTGCTTTTTAGACACTGCTTAGATCCAGCACTTGATCCATATCCCTCGTCCCGAATATAAAATACTGTTCATATATGTACGTAAAAGCCAACATTCCTATGTTGAATATGACAGCTGGTATGTTAAGTTTCCTACATGAACAAAGATAATATGCGAGTCGGAGTGGACGTCTTGTCAGGTATAACATAGGCCAAGTCAACAAGTCGACACCACGCCTTCAAGCGCTTAATGGGATGCTTGCCTCGTAAATGTGGCCGTGGTCTATCCCGCGGGCAGTGGGGAACCTTCGGACAATGGACACGGTACACTGTTATCGCATCCATCGCCTTACCGACTCCTTGAGTTATGCGAGTCATGTACAGAGTTGAATATACAATGATCTATTGTTGTTCACTGCACAATTGACATCGAGACATATCTGCTTGCACAAGCCGCGACTTATTCTCTGTATTATGTTTCAGGTTTGTTTATGGACGAGTTTCAGATACCGGAAGATGATGGCATTGATTCAGTCAGCCTGTCCTCAAACGGTAAGGCCAAACTCAGTCGTCAATGATTACGTTACATATTGTTTGGTATACTGGAGCAACGTGTTATGATTATTGTCAACAAAGTGCTTTTGTTGTCTATATTCAGTAATATCTGTGCGATGCTGTTATACAGGAAACAGGCAATGAACAGCTAGGTCTTAAAAACTTGTGCCTACTAAAGGTTAATACAACGTAAAAGATATTGACGTCAATTATGATAAATAAATAAGTCGACAGTAATAACTTCACAAACCGCTTATTTAATCATTGTCACAAAATAAACAGAAGTCAACGACCGGAAATTTTAGGTTTAAATAAAAAACAAAAAGCTAAAACGGATAGGTTAGCCATCAAATATCAAGGAATCGTTTGTCATTTGTTTATTTATTTGTACACAGAGGAGAAAGATAACAAGAAGGGGAAAGATAGTGGTGTCGCTATCAGACGAAGCAAGCGAAACTCCAACAGCAAGAATGGAAAGAAAAAGAAAAAGAAGTCCGAGAAGAAGAAGGAAGAAAAATCTAAGAAGAAGAAAACTTCCAAGGATGAGGACAAGAGCAATGTTGTTGTTACTGGTGCTGGCGAATCTTTGAACATCACCCAGAGTGTTGAACCACTCCACGAATCTGTTAAAGCTGCCGCAGATGAGGCTAAAGTGTTAGCACTGTCGGAGGAAAATGGTAGTTGGGTTCCGAAATCAGAAGATGATGTGGAGGAAGATTTGGTAGCAGCAGTCACAGCTGTCATGGATTCCAGCGTGTCTGAAGGTAAGATGGAGGTTGAACCAGCGCAAGAAGAAGTATTAACACCATCTACGGCTACAGACGTTGCGACGGCGCCTTCTATTGAAGAGAAGTCACTAAAGGAAGAGGATCGAGAACGAACTCTCAAACCCATTGTTGAAAGTTCTGCACAGGAAGAAACAATTCAGTCCGTCGCGACAGCAGCGCAAGCAGCTGCACCCTGCCCCGAAACATCGGATGGAATCGTACCTTCATCGCCAGATACTGATGTTGTCAAACAGGCTGTGAGTCCTGCCGTATCAAACGCGGGCGAAAATGGTGTCTTGAAGCGTGTGTCACTGGGACCAAGGCTGAAAACAGCTATTTTGAAGAAATATAGCGGTGCTGGCGATGCACAACCGGAGACCAGGGTTACTTTGACCAAACCCAAAATTGTAGAAGTAACTGATCTTGTACCTCCTCCCAGGAAGAACAGACCCCGACGTACTCTATCACAGACGACGAGCTCTACTTCCAGCAGTGAACTTAACACCAGCATCAGTAGTAGTGTTTGTCCGTCTTCACCCAAGACGGATGAGGACAAAACAGTTAGTTCACCAGAAAAGTCAGATGTAGAATCAGTTGTTACACAAACACTTCAGGCCGGCAGTGAGCTTGATACTAGCGTCAGTAGCAACGTAGATCCCCCAGCATCCAACAAGGACGAGGACATTGCAGCTAGTTCGTCAGAAACGACGAGCAGTGAACTTAACACCAGCATCAGTAGCAGTGTAGACCCGTCTTCACCTAAGACGGATGAGGACAAAACAGTTAGTACACCAGAAAAGTCAGATGTAGAATCAGTTGATACACAAACACTTCAGGCCGGCAGTGAGCTTGATACTAGCGTCAGTAGCAACGTAGATCCCCCAGCATCCATCAAGGACGAGGACATTGCAGCTAGTTCGTCAGAAACGACGAGCAGTGAACTTAACACCAGCATCAGTAGCAGTGTAGACCCGTCTTCACCTAAGACGGATGAGGACAAAACAGTTAGTACACCAGAAAAGTCAGATGTAGAATCAGTTGATACACAAACACTTCAGGCCGGCAGTGAGCTTGATACTAGCGTCAGTAGCGACGTAGATCCAGCAGCAGCCATCAAGGACGAGGACATTGCAGTTAGTTCGTCAGAAACGTCGGATGTAGAATCAGTTGTTACACAAACACTCCAGGCCAGCAGCGAACTTAATACTAGCGTCAGTAGCGGGGTATATCTATCAGCAGCTGGTAAGGACGAGGACACTGCAGTTAGTTCTCAAGGAAAGTCTGATATTGAAATAATTATTACACAAGAACTCCAGCCCAGCAGTGAACTTCGTACGAGCATCAATAGTGACGTTAGTCCTCCTTCACCTAGAACTGATGAGTATGCACAAGTTATCTCTCCAGGAAAGACCGATATAGAATCGAACGTCACACAAACTGTCGACAATGTCGTCGAATCTCAAATTACTGCCACCTCTGACATTGACAAAACAGATGGTGATGGGAGTGTCGTTAATGATGTTCTTGCGTCATCTCTCGACGCAGACGTTAAATGTTTGGCAACCGAAACTGTGTTAGCTCCTACTGAAGTGTCAGTTACACTTGCAGAGAATGAGCGTGAATCTGTTGTTGAACCCATGTCCGTCTCTCAGGAATTATCTAGAGATGGAGCAGATTCAGAAGTCGCATCTAACCCGACACTTGCTGAACAGGCTAAAGTTGTTGTCGATCATGATATTGAGACAAAGATGGCTTCACTCAGCGTCGAGTCAAATCCAAAAGGAGAAACAAAAGATGATTCTACCCCTGCTTCAGAGTCTGTTGTAGAAACAAGTGTAACAGGGGATATACCACCTACAGAGCACGCAGAGGAGGTGGGTAAATCTGTGACGTCCCAGTTGGAGAGTAGGGCTGAAAGTGTACAGCCAGATGCTCTTAATGAAGGGGTTATTTTGAAAGACATTGAGATTTGCATTGAACCAACGAGAACATATGAGGCTGAAACCGAAAACCACGATACCGACACTGAACCAGTTATCGTGATAGAGAGGATTCACTCTGAACCTTATTTTGGGCCTGTTCCTGAGAGTGAGGATGGTCAAAGTGATGACACTAAGAGTGGTGAGGGTGTGACAGACCTCACTGATGCTAAGAGACAGAAATTCTCACACGAGACTGGAGAAGTTTGCAAAGAATGTATTTGTGACGAGGTTCACAAGGAAGATGACGAAGTTACTCAAGTAAAAGACGAGACGATAGTAGGTGAAGTCGGTAAAGTGGACGAGGAAGTATCATCCACAGAGACTGAATCCACGCCAAGTGACCGTCATAGCGTTAGTGCTACTGCTGAAACAACCACCCAAGCATCAGATGAGACACAAGAAGAAAGCGCGGCCCACAAGGACGCTATTTGTGATACAGGTCTACGCGTTGACGACCCTGACGACAGTTCCAGCACGGGAACAGACAGCACAGTTGTAGACGAAGATGAACACGACAGGACGATTGTTGAAGAGAAGAACACAGCTAAAGAACCCGAAAAAGAAGACGCGTCAGATGAACGCGATCCTGCAATATGCAATGGTGACTCTAAAGGACTCGCTCACGAGAGTGGCAGTGACTCTAGTTCCAGTGTGAGAAGTGAAACCTCGCGAGATCTGGAGGAGTGTACAGACACTGTTGCCCATGAAGGCGACGGGAAAGTTGTGGTAGACTGTAACGATGAGCATAGTAAGACAGCGGTTGGCAAAGTTAATGGTGAGCACAATGCTTCAAGTGAGAGTGGCAGGGACATTAGTGACAATAATAACAGTAAAGACGTAATCTCGTCAGAACAGATGAACATCCTCGAGACCAACCAGAAAGTGTCGGGTAAGTGTCTCTAATTTGTGTCATGTTATTTGAATGTTTCCCCTACACGCCAGAAACCTATGATTGTGAGTTCGAATCCAGGTTCGCCTCGATTATGTTTCTAGGTTCGCCTCGATTATGTTTCTAGGTTTGTCAGCACCATACCCGTGCTCGTGGGTTTCTCCGAAGTGGTAAACGTCCGTGACCTGCATCACTTCCGGCTTTCCTCCCACATCAGGCTGACACGCCGTGATGTAACTGTAATACTGTTAAAAACGGCGTTAAACCCAACTCACTCACTCACTTATGTAGCTGGAATATTGCTGAGTGCGGCGTTTAACAACAAACACACCAACATATTGTTCTTCAGCAGAGGCTAACCTTGTACGTTACATCTTTCAGTCTGTAGTGAAACTCCCCTGAGTTAGTAGTCGCTGGGTGAAGCCCCATTTGCCTATGCACTGAGACGCCTACCTCTGATATACGACATGGATTTAACTTGTCAGCTTCATTGTGTGTACCTTTCACACGCTGCGTTAGGGAAATCAATGTGGCGGGTAACGCTTCTCTGTGTTTCGCCAGAAGTAGGTGACAATATTTGAAACCATCGCTGAACTTGCCAGCGTACAGATTCGGCAGATGCATGAGCTATCCACGTGTTGTGCGTTTTCGGACGCTTCAGAAACAGGCGTAGTCTTCTCTCGAATCACATGACCAGCTTTAAAACAGCTTTCTCTTAAAAACAAATCATCTGAGATTTTACAATTTACCCTGTGATGCTACAGCCCCCGTTATAGCGCGAGTAATCCCGATAAACATTGCCGTCCGAAAACGTGTGATCTGACGATATAAATTCAGAGTCAGACAGCTGCCGACTCAATTTACACAAAAGCCTTTAGACTATTAACATGACGAAATATGTGTTTCTCGCATTCTTGTAGAATATAATAATCGCCCATTAGGAAATGAAGACTATTCATTCTTTTCACCTATTTTATAGAGTCCAGGAAGTCGACAGAATTTTGATGCAATGGTTGTGTTGTTTCCTCTGCATGCATCATGGTCAACCTGTTCATAGCATCCCATGTTCAGATGTATCTGTCCTGAGACGAAATTCTGCCTGTGGCTGTAAACTCGCCATTTCAACCACGCCCACGCGCATGATAAAGAAACTCGCTTCCAATTCATGGTTACTTCTTTCAAATAATGGCAGTGTGCGATTCTGTAACATGCAACCGTACTTCACGAGGAGGTGTCGAATACATGTCAAGCCACATATTTGAGAGTACACAACTGCCACAGATATGTTTGATTTCGTCTGTTACGTAACAGACCAAGTTAAGTGTTTGATATGTCATGTATGACCATTTTGTGCTATTATGATGGCTTACACATTGTCACTTTTATGGCTGGCATTGCAGCAACACTTTCAACGGCTTCCGTTTAAAAGGCTTTAGCCGAGACATGGAATGAATGCTGCTGTCCTCTCCCAACAATAAACCCCCAAATGCTTGTCGGATCTCATTTCCATGTAACGATGTAAGCTGAGCAGCGGGACATGATACAGCCCTACCCTGTACACATTATCTGGATTAATGTGGACGGGCCATCGTGTCAGACCAAGGCAGATTTCAAACAAAACATCTCGGCTCCTGGTCTTAAGTAGGTTGTAAATATACACCAGTGACATGGGGCAGATTGCAAGTTCTAGATTTATTACAGCTGTGCTCTTCTTAACCATAACACGGGCGTAATTGACATTCCTCCGTACTTGTCGAACTAAAGTACTATTGAGGATACGACTGGCTATTTTAACCTGATTAAAAGTAGAGCCGTTGCGTGGGTTTAGTGAGTTACTGGGTTAGCACTGGTTACCTGGTTTGAGAGCTCAATGAAACGTCAAGCAGCTTGTGATGTTAGAAGCTTTGAGAGCTCAATGAAACGTCAAGCAGCTTGTGATGTTAGAAGCTTTGAGAGCTCAATGAAACGTCAAGCAGCTTGTGATGTTAGAAGCTTTGAAAGCTCAATGAAACGTCAAGCAGCTTATGATGTTAGAAGCACACGGTAGTATGGCCAGATGGCAAGGTGGGGGTCAATGTCTACCTAGATTGTCAGTTGTACACTAGAATCGGATACAAACATTATACAATTAGGCACCGATTTGATGTTCGCTGTCACAATATCCAAACAAATTCGTACAGCGCCCTGCACCACACACGAAGACCTGCTGGTCGATGTTCTCAATCCAACAAAGATGAAATAGCTTCAGAATAGGAATCCCAAGGGAGAATTGGTCTTCATTGCCCGATATATTTCTTAATAGTCGAATAAAAAGTGAAACGGTTTGCCATAGTGTGTGATTTAGCCTATTCTGTGTCGCATTAGGGCGTGGAATTTCTATCAAACTATATCTCTCAGATGTTACTACTACACATTTGATAGCGGGTATGCGCTGTAATGCTCAAAACTTATTATCATAAAATATCTGATTATCCTTATTAAACATGAGTAGTATATAATATTACAGTCCCCCGTGATATGGCTGGAATGTTGCTGATTGCGATTTAATACAGCAATCGTTCACTGACGCATCACTGTTGTTGAATATCTGTCAGTACATGCATCATTAAGTGAAGTGATATATGCATGAATGTGCTGTACCAAATCGTCTCCCTTACACGAAAACTGGCAATTCTAGGATGACAAGATTTTTACTTCTACTATTTTTGCTTTTGTTCATATACGTTAATCGTGCCGTTTCCTGAATATTTGCGATTGTCTTCACAACGTAACCCACTCGTACAGTGTACTTGTGCGTGGAGATGTGTGCTATTTTGGTACTTAATCCCACCATGGACAGATAGTCACGTTTTGACGGCCCCCACTTGACTGTTTTCGTCTGGACAATGTATAGTGGACTTGACGAAGTAGATTTTAGCAGATCCAGGAGGTGAAATATATCCCTAGCTCTCGAGAAGACAAGCCTAATCCATTGCCAGATTCCTCCGTTCTTTATGCTACTTGAGAAATGCCACTATTTGCGCTAACCCACCTGCAAAGACAACGCTTACCTCTCAGCACGTACACAGAATAGACATTGTACTCGTTTTGCTCAGTGAGGAGTAATATATGAGCACGGTGCGGTACTCCTTGTGATGTTAAGATGATGTTCCCGTGAGCGATTTACTTGCCTTTGCATGTGTTTGTACCAGGTGGGACAGGAAACTCTCATCTTTCAAATGCTTATGAAACAGTCGGAAACGTACAATGGGCTCTCGGGGCGGTCGCTCGTCAATGAGTACAATTTGTGAAGCCAATTTCCGCTGTCCCCCGCCGTGATAATGCTGAAATATTGCTATAAGCGGTGTAAAACCATACTCACTCACTCACTCACTCACTTTTAAAGAATAGATTTGTTATCTTTATGGCAAAGGTGTTGTAGTTTTTATTATTATTTTCAACCTAAGGACCACGGTCGGATGTTTGACACATTATGAATCGTACAATAGACTCTGCGTTTAGCAGAGCTTTCTTATCTTTATGGCCAGGGTTTTGTCGCATTCATTCAAGGGAATGCGTGATTATTGTTCGCCGTGGAATAAGATCACATTCAGGAGTGTCACTCGCTTGAAACCATGGAAATACATAATCAGGCAAAAGTAACCTGAATCTGAGTCCTTGCGAACTGCTAAATACTTTCGACTGAAACCGGTCCTGCGGGTGGTGGTGCAGATTTTACTGACGGTTCCGTCGGTCGTAAAATGAATGCAAAGAACAGCGTTTCGTTGAACAGTCAAACGAATTAGGTCGACCGCCTTGACGTTTGTTTTGTTAAAATGAATTGTTATTCCGTATCTGTAGACTATTGGTCTAATATTAGTTTTGCAACTTCGTGAACATGATGGTAAAGTTGTAAACGCCTGAGACCTGCATCACTTCCCACATTAAGCTAACACGCCGTGATGTAACTGGAATATTGTTCAAAGCGGCGTTTACTTCACTCACTCATTGATGGTATGGTTAATCCGTTTTGTTTCGTATCACGAGGAATAGACAAAAAACAAGAGTACAAGTTACTGTTTAGCCACTATGTTATGGACTTTAGGAGAGCTGCTCTATGAGTTTATTACTCAGAAGGCTGACTTTACTTTTCACACCTTATCGACCACCCCACCGCATGGTTCCTCCTGAGATGTACACGTCGCTATATAAGTGCAATAATCTTGGACGCGACGTTAAACCCCATTTCACCTCACCTCACCACCTCCTGAGATGTAAATAACTCCTTAACTGGCGACCAAAATATAACTGGGGTAAAGAAACCTCAGCACGGGCGACCCATGAAGATCCGGATTAGAATTGGTCTTCAGCAATCCATGCTTGCCGTAATTGCGTGGATCGATGCGCATAATGTCAATCACTGGATTGTCTGGTCCAGACTCGAATATTTACCGACCGCCGTCATATAGCTGGGATATTTCTGAGTGCGGTGTTAAACAACAAATAAACTGAGCTCGGGCAAACTATGAACACAATGTCAAAATGTATTGCGTGTGTACCTATTGATAGCACTTTTACATGTTCATGCTGGAGTGCAAAGTCTTGATGGTACAGCAAAGTGTATTTGTATTTGTGTCACATTTTGTACATTTAAATCATCTTGTTCCAGATCCAATCTTGTCCGAGAATCACACGGCAGCTGCCGAGACGGTGGCAGGGGAGTGAAGTCGGCGCATCGTCTATCACGTGACTACACTAACAGGCAGCAGCGGACGGGTGGGCAGCGGAGGGAAACAACACGTTCAATATGCTTAGCGCATACATTTACTCACAACACGAGTCCACCCTAGTGTTTAGAAGAACACATATTTAGGCCGAGGAAAACATAAGATGTACATGTTTTATACAGCAATGATGCTGGTACTGCCATTTACAAACGGCCACTGATGCCACTGAGTTCCATCTTCCATTGACCTTCCTAACGTCGTGTGTGGGACGTGTGCTTGTGTTACACGATCCGTGTAGAGTGCACATATGGTTCTGAATGGAACTCGCGTTCAGAACAGAACTTCAATCAGTTGTACCTGTCAACAAGCGGTTATATGGATTCCAAATCCTGGGATATCAACTTGCATTTTTCTTTATATAAACTTAATATGAACACTTTTTCCAATGTGCAAATCATTATTTATGAATTACGTATTTAATACCAAAGAGATTTTATAACCTGCAATATGCGTTTTGTTTCCCGTGTTTACTGTGAGTTAAATGAAAAGGTTGTGTATTGGAAACATACGTTTCTAAATATTGCAAGGATGGTCTTCAAATTTCAAATGAAACTGAAAGGCGAACATATTCCACCTAAAGAACAAATGCATCTGGCTATATTTTATGCATGTTCATTTTCTGCATGCCATGTAAAAAATAACCACCTTGTTCCAGTACAGTACACCAGTAAGGGATGGGATTCAGCCTGCACGTACATATCACAAGTAAGCTTGGTTGTGATACGATAACAGACGCCAAGAGCACCGAGGAGCAACGTGTCCTAATAACGCCAGAATGTGAACAAACTTTATGTTTCATGTTTGATCCCCGAAAACCTCACCTCGCGATTGATCAATCGTGTTTTCTCCTTGTAATAATAGTTTAATTCGATTATTGAACACTTCAGAAACATACTTAAGGATCATTTTAATATTTTCATTTTCTAATCCACAAGGGCAGCAAAGTATACAAGTATATATACTCCATGAACATATTTTCCGATTGTCGCCATTCATTCAAAGATTTGTTACTGGCTCTTGGGGCTGCATATCTAACCAAGAATAATAGCAATAACACATATTTCAACACCTGTAACAATACACGTTCGCACTCTCATTGGTATGGGTGGCGTTGCTTGGCGAAATACGCCAAAACATCTGTATCATGTATTCAATGGTATTGCATACATTCCATATTCACAACCACGAATTTGAGAAGGGAGATAATCACTGTCATTATTCCTGCCTAGAAAACACATTACGGGTCCACAAAGCATTATCAAGTTATTCGAATACTACTTAACAGAAATACCAGGTTGGATAATTTGTTATGATATATGTATACTATTATTATTATTATCATTATTATTGTACATATTATGTATATGTATATTAATCGATAATGTTTACATCGATTATTATTGTATTTTGTTACTGATGAAACATATGGGAATAAAATCGTGTAAGCAAAGTATGCCTTGACACTTGTCTGTCCAGTTTCCTCGGAGCGCTAACATTAATTAAAAGTGTTTAAGTTGAAATTAGCTACCTTGTGGCGTGTTCGGAAATGAAGAACGTCATGTCAGAGGATGTAAAATGATACGTGCATTGAGGACAGTCAAACAACGTTATCATATACTTGAACGATTTCCATTAATCGCACAAGAATACGTATCGTGTTGCAGCCAGGCAAACGAATTGCCATTTAGTTAGCCATGATTCACGTAATCGGAGTCCGGTTATACTCTTATGATCATCATTAAAGTGTGAGCGTTATTGATGCAATAATAAAGCACATACGATGAAATAAGACTTACCCGAGTAATCATTTACCATTCTCATATCCATCATCATTGGAAAAACATGGGATATGGAGACAGGGCGAGCTGGTAGAAAAGAACCATATCTTTGCTAAAAAGAACATATTCTTGATTCGTGACAACTAGAACACAATACTGGATATACAATTCCTTGTATGAATGCAGTATAAATGCAAAGTGGACACTGAGATAGCATTGTTTTGTCAGATGCAATACATGAACATTGTTACACGCAAAGAAGAATTTTGAAAATGCCGAGATTTATAACTTCAAATATGGGTCTCAATAGTTTGGCAGCATGTTTTCTTTGTGAAAGCAGGCCGCATGTTTTTACACAATTTGGTTGCTGTCCGAAATAATGTGAAACATTATTTGAAAACAAAAATCACGATTAAGAAAGTATGAATTGAAATGGACCACCCACAAAAAAAGTAAGGGAACTGTCTTTGAGGTGTACGTTTACACAGAAGCCACAGTGTGTGCGTCAAAAAGGGAGTTCACAATCACAAATGCAATTGATCTGATGCAATTGCTTGTGGCTACGATTGAGATTGTTCAATCAATGCAAATCAAAAAGTGCAATTTCTCGACTGTGGGACAAATACCGTCAAACGGGTGGAGTTGCAATGCCACCTGCACGTGAGTGAGTGAGTTGGGTTTAAGGCCGCTTTTAACAGTATTCCAGTTATATCACGGCGTGCCAGCTTAATGTGGGAGGAAAGCCCGAAGTGATGCAGGTCTAAGACGTTTACTACTTCGGTGAAACCCACGAGCACGGGTATGGTGCTGACAAACCTCGAAACATAAATGGGGCGAACCGGGATTCGAACCCACAATCATAGGTTTCTGGCGTGCCCAAGGGACGCAGCGAATCGCAGCGCCTTAGACGACTGGGCCACCCGTGCCCCCGCAAGTGAGATGAGGTGAAATGGAGTTTAACGTCGCGTACCAGATAAATGCATTTCTATAGGCGGGCGGGCGGCCGCTTGTACAACACGGGACGCATGTCCACATTATAGAGTTAGCCCACTGAGATATCATGCCGCATTGTAACATGAAGACCTCACTCAGATACAGTATACTGACTCATTTGTGTCGGACGCGCTACCACTGGACCACGGAAGCAGACTTGTTATAAGTACATACTATTACACAGACAATGTACAGAACTGTGCTATTTCACTTCTCAATTGAAAGGCTATGTTTGTTAATATATATAACACATTAACGCTCTGTTTACCGAGTAACTGCCTTACTTGAAAAGCTTGAAGGCGTATTCCACTAGTATGACTTGATAAACTTGATTGCTTAGATAATAATAAACAGGGTAAATTAATGTGAGACGAAACTCATCTTCCATCGAGTTGTTATGGCCACGTGCGAGGCATTGCTTGTGTTTGTTGGGTCATATTTCACAATTGTGCGTATTTTGGTACAGTCACTTGCAGTTAATTGACATCGTTCAGTTCTCTACTCCATAGCATTGAAATGGTCAGAACTGAGCAGATAGCTCAAATCAATTATTGAAACCTAAAGGGCAAATCACCATACGCTACCCCGTCATATGCAGAAACTAAACCTTGGACGAAGGTACTTTCGCGTGGGAGTGAGTTTGGAAGATGAACCCCGTTGTGGTCGACCACCACCGGACTACAAAACGAAAACATTGCTGCCGTCTATAATTCACAATAGGCGCATTTAACTCTGAAAATGGTTGATGAGGACAATCTGATGATCACTGTTGATAAGCGTGAAGCCACTATTAGAGTTAGAGAATGGAGAAGAGCTCACGGTACGTAAGGACCAAGCCTTGGCTACTATCACTGGACGATTAAGGGACAAGACGAGGCACGATAGAATGCAGTGTACGGAATTCGAAGATGCCAATGTCACGGCCATTGTCAAGACATATCAGCAGCTAAAACTGAAGAGAGGAGTGCTGTATCGAGTGTGCAAGAGCAGCTGGTTCTTCCAGTTCAGTGCCGCATCGCAGCATAACGATCACTCCATGACAATGTTGAACATCCAGGAAGGGTAAATAGTGTGCCATCTAGGTGTCGTGCATGTATCGTCCATTATGGTGGTACACCATATATTGATCTACACGCCCACAATTAATTTTACAACCAATAGGTCTTCAGCAACCCATGCCCGTCTAAAGAGGCGTGTTACGACGTAAATTGTAATAAGAAGGTAAATTGTAATACTTGCAGCAAATTGTAATAATTTTGACGTAAATTGTAATAACAACGTAAATTGTAATGATATTTGACGTAAATTGTTATACGCAAATTGTAATAAAAATTGACGTAAATTGTAATAATCTCTACTTGCGGTAAAATGTAATAAATTCTTACGTAAATTGTATTAACCTTACTACCGTAGTGTCCAAGACGCCAATTGACTAGAAATGATCTTTGTCAGTTGAGCTTGCGTTTCACATGTACAATTCGAGAAATACTGTGTATGATGACAAACGTACAAAACTGTTAAGTTAGGGATGGTTGGTATAGGCTTTATCGTACAATCGTCATTAAAGGGTGGTGTCAACATAGTGAAAGACATTTATTGGAAGTGGTGGGATGTTTGTGGCATGCTATCATCTACGTAGAAGATCTTACCATCTGCGTAGAAAATACTATCATCTACGTAGAATTGAGTGAGTGGGGTTTAAGGCCGCTTTTAACATTATTCCAGTTATATCACGGCGTGTCAGCTTAATGTTGGAGGAAAGCCCGAAGTGATGCAGGTCTCAGACGTTTATCACTTCGGTGAAACCCACGAGCACGGGTATGGTGCTGACAAACCTAGAAACATAATTGGGGCGAACCGGGATTCGAACCCACAATCATAGGTTTCTGGCGTGTCCAGGGGAATCGCGGCGCCTTTGACGACTGGGCCACCCGTGCCCCCTATCTACGTAGAAGATACTATCATCTATTTAGAAGATACTATCATCTACGTAGAAGATACTTTCATCTACGTATATGATAGCATCTTCTACGTAGATGATAGTATGCCATCTTGATACTATCGTCCACTTACATGCTTTCATCTATGTACATGATACTGTCATCTAGAGTATGTAGAAGTGCAGTCATATATGTGATACCAATGACATAGAGCTCACATTAACTGTCATTACATACACACCTACATGCGCGCACACATACATACATACATATATACATACATACATACATACATACATACATACATACATACATACATACATACATACATACATACATACATACATACATACATACATACATACATACCTATGTGTGTATGTGTTTGTATGTATGTGTGTGTGTTGGTATGTACATGTGTGTTTGTGTGTATGTGTGTATGTATGTGTGTGTATCTATACTGATGAGGGCATAGTATCGGAGATAAATATAATTTGGTTTCTTAGTTAGTCACTATTCTTTTCATTGGAATGTTAAGAAGGTATGCTATAATTTCAATATTTTATTACAGTGCTGGATGTTAGCTGGAATTATTTTAATCCTCTTAAACCCCCAGAGAAGATTATCCTCTGGGGTAATTTTTGTCCGTATATATGTCACAAATTAGTGATAACTTATGAAAAACGTAATTATCTGTTTCGAAAATTATGTACCGCATTATACGTGAGGTACCAAATTTGTTATCAAGGTTGCTTGGCGCAATCCACCAACGATTGCCGAGTTTAATGATCTTAGTATACTCTTCGTATAAGGTCAAAGAGAATATTTACGTTAGTGACAAAACCCTTTTCATTATAGATTTTCCATCCTTTCAATTTTGATCAAAACAGTTTTATTTCAGCAATAATTGATT